TCAATTCCCCACTACCCTCACTACCACCGACAAGTTGAAACTTTTTTATCAACATTTATTCAAGAATTTTATTTAAATTAAAAACTACCCTCACTTCCACTGATTTTTCAAAATCTTAATTTCAACATTTATTATTTTTTTTCATTTTCAAACTACAGTCACTTCCAAGACAAAAACTTAAGCAAGTCTTAAAGAAAAAAAAGAGGCAATTTAAAGATTTTTAAAGTTGAATTTCTTGCTAAATATATTTTTTTTTATCATGATTTTACAAAAAAATCTTATAGTTTTATAAGAAAAGTATCTGCTTACTACCATACATACCTATGTTAATAAAAAATTCACCTATTTTTCAGCAAAAAAAGGCATTTTATACGTTCACGGAAGAGTGTGGTGAAAGTTAAGGTTATATATATCCCTTATTTTTGACATACTTCTCTATTTCTAGCAACTTCACATCTTCATATATTCCATTCTTGGCTCCTGATGTAACTTGCATACATTAGTCCTGCTCTTGCCATACACTTTCTTCCTGTTCATCTTCTTTCTGTACCTCTTCTTGTTGTACATCTTCTTTATGTCTACCTCTTGACTCACTACATTGCTGCTCTAAGTGTCTTCTCTTTCTTGCAGCATCAAACTCTCTATCTAGATTTATGTCTTGCTCCAAGTCTATACTTGAGTCTGGATACTTGCTGACTGACTGTTCGGTCCTCACTGCATTCTGTTGATGTTTCTCTTGATCTTGAGTTCGATCGTTTTTCTTCATATTCAATATTTTACAATTGGACTCCCTAGCTGTTCCTGCTGTATCTTCTTCTAGATCTGTTTCTTCATGATCTTTCAGGGTTGGCTCTATCCTTGAGAATTTTAAAAGTTTGACTGTTTCATCTGTCAACTTCCCATCTTGTTTTATTATCTTGTTTTCATCCGTCTCGAGGTTTTCACAAATAAATGTCTTCTTACTCTCTTTTGTGGAACAATTTACTCTTGCAATAGGATCCTGACTCTCTGGTTTCGTATCATTCTCATTTTTTCCTCCTCCATGTTTTCCGCATTGCTTCAAGTTTCGCCTCCATACCTTGTATATCTATCTCCATTTGCTCCATTCTCTGCATCATAGATTGTAATTGCAACTCTGCTGCTGATTTTTTTACTTCATCTATTGTTTCTGTTTCTGTTTTATCAATATTCTCCTGTTTCTTTGGTTCCACGGCTTGTCTGTTGCCTGATTATTCCTTATCTTTCTTCTGCCGTGTTAGTTCTTGACTTGAATCCTGTTCCTCTGGTACCATTGATTTGTTGGAGTTCTTGTTTTCTTATTTTCTTTAATTCTCCTTGATACATCATTAAACTCTTGGGAACCATTCTAAAATCTTCATAATTCTGTTTTTTTCTTCTCTTCTTCATTCTTCACACATTCATCTAGGATGTTATCTGATCAAACAAGCTTTATATCGATCCCAAATGATGGGGAACATCCAGTACTCTAAATGTCACACAGGGAGACAAGCATAGCTATTAAATAAGCAATTACTCAGGCTCTAAATGCCACACAGGGACACAAGTGTAGCTATTAAACAAGCGATTAAACATGCTCTAAATGCCACACTGGGACACAAGCATTTGGCTATCTATCAAGTTTATATATACGTAAATACAATTCTTACGTCATGTTGCATATTACAACACAGTTGAAATAGGCGTATTTAGAATCGCAAATTTATAGAATTAGCGAGGATAGATATAACATAGTTAGGCTATCTCCACACATGTTTAAAGGTTGAATGTATGTTTTAAAATGGTTTAAGCTAATAATGTTTCGTATTGATTTGAAACACAGTTAAAATGAATAATGATTTTTACGTAGAAGTTTTCAAAGGAGTAGGAGTAGGAGTAGGAGTGGGAGTGAGAGTGGGAGTACAAGTAAGAGTAGGAGTAGTAGTAGGAGTAGGAGTAGGAGTAGGAGTAGGAGTAGGAGTAGGAGTAGGAGTAGGAGTACAAGTAAGAGTAGGAGTAGTAGTAGGAGTAGGAGTAGGAGTAGGAGTAGAGTAGGAGTAGGAGGAGGAGTAGGAGTAGGAGTAGGAGTAGGAGTAGGAGTAGGAGTAGGAGTAGGAGTCAAAGCAGATTTACCTTAACAAAGATATAGAATAGCCTGCTTTTGAGATTGAACTTGATTAGAGCAACTAATCCAGCAGTCAATGATATTGTCCATATAGTAAAGTTGTAACCTAAACATATAGTGAAGCTGTAACCTAAACATATAGTGAAGTTGAGACCTAAACATATATTGAAGTTGTAACCAAAATATATTGTGAAGTTGTAACCTAGATATATAGTGAAGTTAAAACCTAAATATATATAGTGAAGTTGAAACCTAAACATATTGTGAAGTTCTAACCTAAACATATAGTGAAGTTGTAACCTAAACATATAGTGTGAAGTTGAAACCTAAACATATAGTGAAGTTGTTACCTAAATATATTGTGAAGTCGTAACCTAAACATATAGTGAAGTTGTAACCTAAATATGTTGTAAAGTTGTAACCTAGATATATAGTGAAGTTGAAACCTAGATATATAGTGAAGTTGAAACCTAAATATATAGTGAAGTTGTAACCTAAATATAAAGTGAAGTTGTAACCTGAATATATAGTGAAGTTGAAGCCTAAATATATAGTGAAGTTGTAACCTAAAAATATAGTAAAGTTGTAACCTAAATATATAGTGAAGTTGTAACCTAAATATATAGTGAAGTTGAAACCTAAATATAAAGTGAAGTTGTAACCTAAATATATAGTGAAGTTGAAACCTAAATATATAGTGAAGTTGTAACCTAAAAATATAGTGAAGTTGTAACCTAAATATATAGTGAAGTTCTAACCTAAATATAGTGAAGTTGAAACCTAAATATATAGTGAAGTTCTAACCTAAACATATAGTGAAGTTGAAAACTAAACATATAGTGAAGTTCTAACCTAAACATGTAGTGAAGTTCTAACCTTAATATATAGTGAACTTGTAACCTGAATATATACAGAAGTTGTAACCTAAATATATAGTGAAGTTGTAACCTAAATATATAGTGAAGTTCTAACCTAAACATATAGTTAAGTTGAAACCTAAATATATAGTGAAGTTGAAACCTAAACATTAAGAAAAGTTGAAACCTAAATATACAGTGAAGTTGTAACCTAAACATAAAGAGAAGTTGAAACCTAAATATATATTGAAGTTGTTACCTAAATATATAGTGAAGTTCTAACCTAAACATATAGTGAAGTTGAAAACTAAACATATAGTGAAGTTGTAACCTAAACATGTAGTGAAGTTCTAACCTGAATAAATAGCGAAGGTGTAACTGAAATATATAGTGAAGTTGAAACCTAAATGTATTGTGAAGTTGTAACCTAAACGTATAGTGAAGATTTAATCATGTCATGTAATCATGTAACCTAAATGTATAGTATATTGCCTATTTTGTGGTTAAGAATCTATGAGGAAGGGGGGGGGGGAGAGGTTTATCGCCTTCTCTGTGATTAAAAATCTATGAGGAGGGTGAATATTGCCTTCTCTCTGTGGGTTTGGCTAAGAATCTATGAGGAGTAGGAGGAGTGGGGCTATTGCTTCAACCTAAGAATTATCGGTGAGAAGGAGGAGGTGGTATTTCCTACTGATAAAATAAATCATCTCAAGGTAGAAGGAGGAGGAAGGATACAAGGGGGGGGGGGGGNTACTTTCCTATATATTTAGGATAATTAATAATAAATCATTCCACGTACTTTCCTATATATTTAGGATAATTAATAATAAATCATTCCACGTACTTTCCTATATATTTAGGATAATTAATAATAAATCATTCCACGTACTTTCCTAGATATTTAGGATAATAATAAATCATTCAACGTACTTTCCTAGATATTTAGGATAATTAATAATAAATCATTCCACGTACTTTCCTAGATATTTAGGATAATTAATAATAAATCATTCTACCTACTTTCCTTAATATTTAGGATAATTAATTATCAAATCATTCCTCATACTTTCCTAGATATTTAGGATAATTAATAATAAATCATTCCACGTACTTTCCTTGATATTTAGGTTTATTAATTATCAAATCATTCCTCGTACTCTTTTCGATAAATTCTCTTACTTCCCTTGGATATTTGGCGTAATTATTCCTTGTACTTTCCAATATATTTGCGGTAATCATTCCTCGTATATTCCTAGATGTTTTGGGTGATCATTCCTAGTACTTTCCTAGATATTTTGGGTAATCATTCCTTGTACTTTCCTAGATATTTGGTGTAATCATTCCTCCCACTTTCCTAAATATTTGGTGCAATCATTCCTCGTACTTTCCTAGATATTTGGGGTAATCATTTCTCGTACTTTCCTAGATGGTTTAAAACATTTAAAACCTGTGAAGGTAAAATTGCAACTTTTCTTTATTCGACATGCAATGATTCAGTGTTTAATTGTTATATCCTTTATTTATACAAAAAACTTTCAAGTCGATATTCGTTTTTTTTATGTCAAAAACCGTTTGAGGGCCACGGCACGAAAAGGAAAAGAAAAAAGGGAAGTGATTGTCATCATGAGAATAAATTAATTTCCACAGATTAATTAACATTAACATATAAAACACTAATTGTCGTTTTTAAGGATTTAAGGGTTTTATGTTCATAAGAACTCTGAGACAGAAGCCCAAAGTAGTCCTGCTTAGGCAGGGTTGAATTACAAGAAAGAGAGAGAACATGGGAGTAACCTTTTTGGGCCTATGCCTCAGGGTTATTGTGAACGATAAACCCCTAAATCTTTAAAAGACGACATCTAGTGTTCTATCTGTTATTTTTAATTACTTTATGATAATTTCTTCCTTGTTTCAGAATAAACATTAACGTTTAACAGAAGTTGTTTACCTGTCCTTATTAAACCTGTAAACCATGATGGTTATATAGAATACAGGAACACTGATAACAGTTGCCACAACTACACCAGTCATCAAGTAGTTTAGACCACTAGTCTTGTTGTAGATCTTGGAGTCAGTTAGGTAGCCCTAAACCAAGGATATTTATATAGTTAGGTAGCCCTAAACAAGGGTTATTTATATAGTTAGGTAGCCCTAAACAAGGGATATTTATATAGTTAGGTAGCCTTCAAACCAGGGATATTTATTGATGATAGTTAGGTAGTCATAAACCAAGGATATTTATAGAGGATAGTTAGGTAGCCCTAAACCAGGGATATTTATAGAGGATAGTTAGGTAGCCCTAAACCAAGGATATTTATAGAGGATAGTTAGGTAGCCCTAAACCATGGATATTTATAGAGGATAGTTAGGTAGCTCTAAACCAAGGATATTCATAGAGGATAGTTAGGTAGTCCTAAACCAAGGATATTTATAGATAAGGGAGATAGTGTTATAGCCCTGAACCAAGGAGATAAAATGAGGATTACATTATAGCCCGTAATCAAGGGATTATAAAATATGAAAAATAAAGTAATGAGGGATAAAATATTTCACCAGTTCTAAGACTTATACTTGAATTTGCAAATACAAATCTCATATCAAGTGTTTTGAGGGTAAAATATAAACAACATGATTATAATTGAAGAAGCTTAACTTACATTTTTGATAAAATAGAAGTCCTCAAGTTTTCCAACACACTCAAAATAAATCCTGTTATTTTCCATCATAAAATATCCTAAAATATGTGAAAATTTGTTTTCAAAACAAAATGTCAAGTTTGGTTAAGCCAAAATCAAAATTATAAAAAACATAATGTTTTAAACAGAAGTCACTAATTTAAAAAAAATAATTTAAGAAAACTAGAGTTCGAATTCAAGAAAATTATTTTTCTATGTTTAATTTTAAAAAAACTCATTACAGTCTTTGCTTAGTTGGCTTGTCTTTGATATAATTAAGATGATTTAAAAATGCAATACAATACAACGGATGACTATATCCATTAAAAAGAATGGCTTATGGTGGCAGAGGTTTCAAGGTATAAAAGAAAACCTTTTATTTTCAGCTGACTGCACATCACAATCCAAGTATCTATATGGGCTAAATTAATTTTTTCAATAAATCTTTTAATTTCTTTCTTGACGTTTTTATGAAATTAAAACCCGTTTTTTTTAAAGAAAAAGTTTCGGAGTGAGAAATAAAAAAAGATATCTTTTTCTTTAATGAAAGTGGCAATACGAAAAGTTGCTGACATTCAAAACAAAGAGTTCAATCAGATTCTGCGTAAACATCAAAAGTGCTGACTGTGGACATTAAGATCGAGCGAGATGGATTATGGATATAAAACATAATAGTTCCCAGCTCAGGTCCAACTTTTTTATATAATCTTCGTCGAAATGAGTGAACACATGCAAAATTTTCAGTTTAGGACGACGGCAAGGGTAAGGGACCTGTAACAGTGCTAAGTGTAGAGGTGCATACAATGAGAATCCAAAGACAGTTTCCCAGCCAGTACCTATCCTGTTCATAATTTAAAAAATTATTATTATTTCAAAATATTTTTTCTTTAATATATTTCACATTCTGGATTAAGAATCTAACAATCAATTTTCTAATTTTGTTTCCTCAATGAACAATTTGTCCTATATAGATCACAAAATATTTATTGAAAATTAAGTGCAAGCATATACTTCCTATACCTTTACTTTAAATTCAGACTCAGCCTTTATAGAGTTAAACATATCTGGTTTAAAACCACCGTCAAGAAAGTTCTGCTGCATAAAGTGAGCAGATAATGATCATGTAATTATGCGTACAGATTCAATTTCAAAAACTTATTTAAGGCCCCATCAAAAAGCAAGAGCTTGAAGATTATGAAAAAAATGCTAAGCTTTGTTGTTTATTTACCTCTGCCCTGTAGAAACTAGTAGACAGGGTGACCAGGCAAAATCTGTAGAAGGCAACAGAGAACGGAATTATCCTTTCAAATAATTATCAAATAAATTATGGAGTGACACTCGAATGTAGATTTTTACATGATAGTACAAACAAGTTTAAATTTATTGTAATATCACTTTCTCTTCAAAAACACAATAAATTCTGCCCTCCATCTATCTATATATATGTATAATTAAGCTCTGGGTTCCTATATATATATTTATATGTTAGCTATATGCTGGCCAAAAGGCTGGATCAAATTCGAATTTTATTTTCTTAAAAATAAAAAAAATTCTGCCAAGATTCCATTTTTTAAAAATGTCACGGGCAGCGATCACTTTAGCTAAGATGAGATTTTAAAAGCTAAAACCCGAGTAAAACCCGGTCTTTGCGTCTGCTTAGACCCAAGTAAAGCTCCAGTGAAGACCCAGGTTTTGGATGGCCTTGAGTTTAGTAAAAACCAACCACCGTGGGGTTTTCTCTTTTCAAGGCTTGGGTCTTCAACAGCTGATGATAGTAAATTTAGAAAAAAACTTTTTTATTTGTAAATTTAAAATCTCGGGAATTATTTGGTGTGTCATATTTGATCAAAGGTATGAAATAAACATACTATACATAATGTATCTACATAAAGTTCGAATTTTCGAAATTTTCATCTCCTTGTCACAGCTGATCTGCTAGTAATCTGTCTGCTACAGAGAGAAAGCTTTCTAAGCAGTCTCTCATTGGTCGAACCAGAGCCAATCCTGACTTGGGTTCTATCTGAGCCCATCTATGGGTTTCACTCGGGTTTAAGCTTTTAAAATCTTATCTCTGGTCTGAATTATGATATTTAATATTTACGAAGTTTAGGTTATAGACTGTTGTGAATTAATGATATGATACCAATATATTCTAACCTGTCCATGTTTCCCACTATTTCAGTCACAAGTATTTGGAAGTAGCAGTAGTAGGGTTCATAAGAGAGGTGGAGATGAATTGTGTTTATTATCAAGTAGCAATGACAGAAACTAGAAATATAATCAAGAGTAGTGAAAGAAACTAAAAGATATTAAAGGGAGTGACCAGCTAGACATGTAGTGAAGCTGAGAGTGTTGTAGAATCTTTTAGAATTCGATCATTTGAGACCTTTAACACATTTTTGGTGTGAAATTGCTGAATCAGAGCAGACATTCTATCTTTGAAATTCTCGCTGAGCATACATTTAAAGAATTTTTTTATTATTAAATAACGACAACTAAAAATGTAACAAAAATTAGAATGTCACCTAATAATGACATGAATAGGGAAACAAATTCTACAAAATAGATTAAAGAATCGATTTGTTAAATTTCAAATCATTATCAACGCTTTACATCTCTTGACAGATTTCTTAAAATGTCGCCTTTTGCGCTTGAAACATTCTAGGAAATTGAAAACAGTGGCCCAAGCAAAAAATTGCATTTAAGGGAGTGCTCGCCAAAAATGAAAGGGGGTATAGGCTTAATGCGATAAAAAAGCGCTTTTGATCGCTACTAATCTTACTTCTATCTGTTGCGTCTATAAAGAGAAAATTGGTGAAGACGTCTCACACCGAATAACTTAGCGCCCATACAAATTCAGAAAATATCAACATATGAATTAGACCGTAAAAAAATCAATTTAATTTCAAACAAATCATTCAGATATTACAACATATAGTCATCGATTATCTTTCGGCAAAGGAATTGAGTCTTTGCCAAAAATTCAGTTTTTGTAAAACCTATATCTTTGCAACCTTATGATGTAAACCTTTGATATTTCAAACTTACATTATTTGATCTAATAGCATTCATGGTTTGAAATATTAAAGGTCTACGACCTTGGGTTGCAACGATATTGAAATTAGAAAAGCAGAGTTTGTGGCAAAAACTCAATTCCTTTGTATATAGTTTATATTTTATAATATTGGTGTAAGATTAGTAGAGATCAAAAGCGCTTTTTTATCGCATTAATCCTATACCCCCATTCATTTTTCGCGAACACTCCCTTTAACAGTAAGAAGTTTTTTAATATAAAGCTTATTTTTTTAATAATTAGCTTATTTTTTAATATAAAGAGTACTTTTTTCTCAACTTGCTCCAATAAGGACCAGATTATTTTACTGTTTCATTTTTGTAAAATTATTAAATAATTTAAAGAAATCACCGATTTTTCAAATATATCCTTTAAAGCGGACAATCAGGGAGAATTTCTGTTATTATTCAGCAAATATAAACACCGTAAAACGTTCTATAGGTCTCAAATTACTCTACTTTCAGCTTAACTACCATGTTTAGCCGGATACTCCCTTTAAGAACACCTGTTAAAGCACTCTAGTGTGAGAAGACTGTCTAAGATGGTAACCCTGTTCTTCCAGGTTGAGGTTAGCATTGGCAGGTTGGTTAGGAGTATCATAATCAGGACAAAAACAGCCAGTACATTGTCAAGGTCGGTCACTTCTTCTACCTCATTCCTAATCCAGGGATCTTTTATGTAACATGTAACATATATCTTGTAATCTCATTATGCAGAATGACCCAGAAAACATGAGCATTCAGCAACGACTTTGATATCGTCTTTACTTCACGCAGTATTTTCAAGAGATTTTTTTCCCACTTAAAACTCCTAGTCTTAAGATTTTCAAAAGTGATCTGCTACGGTGACGTGGTAGGCGATTATAGCAATATAATTAAGACGACTTTTTTATTTAAGTTTTAATTGTTAAAAGCTTTCTTCGAATAACAAGTTTACAATCAATTAAAGAAAAGATTTTTTAACTTTTTAACTGACAGCTTCTCTCTGTTTCGATGTTTTTGTGTATCCATGGCTTTAAATCAATCAAAATTAAAATCGAAAGTTGTCTTCATTATATTAATAAAATCGTCTGCCACCGTATTTTAGAACTTAAATTGGTCGGAATTTAAGAATAAAGCTGCTTTTTACGTGTTTAAAAAAGGTCTAATTGATTTTTTTTGTTTAACGAGTTGAAAAAATATCTAATTGTTAACTTACAGAATAACATTTTTCTCCTTAGTTAATATTCTCCAATCTGTTCCTAGGTTTATGCTCGTTAAATTCATTTTTTTTCTCTAAATATTTGTTAATTCAAATCATGGACGACAATACACGACAAAAATTCATAAGAAATTTTTCTTTATTTTATATTTCTTTTAGCAAATTAACTTTTTATCACTTATCAACGATTTAAAAATATATAGAACATTGAAGAAAAAGACAAAGGAATAGACAGCGTCAGTAACCAAATATTTTATTTTATGTCTGCTGCACTTTTTATTATTAAAAACTCAGCTTTTTAATGGGACTGGAAGCGTATTTTCGAGTTATCCGAGGTACTTCGGATCTAGATGGTCAAAATACGTCTACACTCTACAGTGACATCTTCCCTTGTGGCCCGATCTTCGAATTTGCAACCATTGTGTAACTTCTTAATTTTGCTCCTTTTATTATGTAAACCTTCTTGTTTGTGATCTTGATCTGGTGGAAGGTTGTGCATAGATATCCTTCCTTGATCTCCATTTCCATTATTGCTTGGATCTCCCATGTCTGTTCAGTTCAAGGTTTCCATGTGTGTACTGATTTATTTTTAATTTGCGGAGTTTCTTTCCGAGCTTCGTAGATTTTTTAGTTTTACTTCATGATTTCAGATTTATATCAAAATTAATTTTACAACTTCAGGGGAAATTGGTTCCAAAACTAACACTTGGCCCATTTCTTACACATAGCGTTAGAAATGTTAGAAGTCGGCAATGTTATCTTTTCCAAGCTATGTATCTTTAAATCCAAGCCGAATTTAACAAAACTACACCATACATTTATAAAAATGGCTAGCACTATATATTTAAACAAAAAATGCCCACTTTAACTAATTATAAGACGTGAGAATAATTTTTGATGATACTTGATTTCATTTTCGAACATATCCCTTTTTTGAAACAGTTACCGCATTTCAACTCATACCATGTTTTTGGACTATTTCTTGGTTTTGAGCCAATTACTCGAATTCATATCAATGTCAATTTTCAAGCATTTACGCTCTTCTGAGCAAAAGAAGAATTTTTCTATAGGTAAAATATAAACTAAAAAGAAAATAAAAACATACTGAGTTCGAATTTAATGAATTTGAGCCTGAAATCCGCCAAAAACCGGTTATAATTGAGCACCAGCTTACATCATGAAGCAATAAAAACAATTTTAAGTGGAACCAACCATATTTTTGCCGCGGCTCAAATACCTTAAATTTGGCCTCTGTTCTTTTATAATTAAAAATCATTGCGGCAGTGATAAATCAAAATATTAATATTATTTTGTTCTTACAATATAGATTTAACTGGCAATGCGGAACATTGGTTGTTTCAAATGCGGGAAATTAAATCAAGTTTATTCTCATTATAACAGATAGCATGAAGAAACTAAATTTCTAGAAATTACTTAGCAGTTAGATTGGTGTTCATAAAATAAATTTTATTCTCACTGATTTATTTTAAAAGTTTTTAAAGTGAGCTTTGTTCTGAATTGCGGATTATACTCAAAAACGGGAAAGCGGGGTTTGTCTCGAAAACCTAACATTGTCTTAAAAACAGTCAAGGGTTTATAAATGAAAACACTACTTTTATTATTTTGATTTCAAAAAGTAGCTAAAATTGTTATCCTTGTCATGCTTTATAAAATGTTGGTTATAGTTTTTATATCGGCTTTTACTCTCGATATAGGATGGGATCGATGGGATCCTAAAAACCCAGTCTTTCAATTTGTGCACATTTCTAACACTCAGTTTTAGAAATGGGCCAAGTGATAGTTTTGCAACTAATGTCCCCTGAACTTATAGAATAAAGTGTATGGGATTGCTAAGTGACATAAAATTGCCAATGTGTAATTAATATCCCGCACTTTCTAACCGGTTTCATACATTTACATTTTTTTGTTGTTAATTTTTTCATTTCTTTACTGGGCCAACATATTTCCTCTGAACATTATATGTAAAATAATAACAAATACAGATTTCACAGATTTTCTGTTTTCATTTGTGAATTTCCGACCGTTTATACAAAACAGATTTTTTTTGGGGCTCGAACATTTCGCCGCTTTGATGAATGTAATCATCTAGCGATCAAGAACAAACTACTAAAACCAGTTTGAACGAGACTGTACAATGAAGGAGTGTGGAATAGAAGGGAGATACAACCAAAGAGAATAAAATATATATTAGAAGGGAGTTTAGAGAATCCTTCGGTATGAATTTTTTCAGTCCCTTTCAGGCTGAAAGGGAGTTCAAAGTGTACAAATCTTGTAAATGTTCACAAATTATATGCAGTAGAGTACATTAATACAGTATGTTCCCTAGAATATCCATTTAAATTTCAAATTTTTAAAAGCTGTTAAATAAACTTTATAAAATGAATTAGGTGAATAAAAAACATCCTTTGATTTATAGTTATAACGGAAAATCATCATTTGTAAAGTAAAAGGCATTATAGAGTCTATGTGAAATGATCATTGCATCAATTAGGAAACCAGCCTATTTCATAATTTGGTTTCTTTTAATATTATTTTTAGATTTTCTATAAAATGATGTTCCAGGGCCCAACAGGTTATATAGCGCAAATATGTGAAGTACACCTGCAGTATGGAAACAGTACAACAAAATGGCCGTTTTACACTTTTTTCTAGTAAATTCCCCTCTAATATATATTCCATTCTCTTTGGATACAACTGACGCGGTCCGCCCTACCATTTGATTATAATACATGCTTTGCAGACGGGTGCTCCATTTGTATAAAATTATTCAGAATAGATTATTGTATACGCGGTAATTGTACATCAGACAAATATTTTTCTTATAAACGAGGAAAAAAGAAGGGGGGGGGGTCTTATTTCGCCTCCTCCTATACCAGGACTAGGGTTAAAAATGAAAGACAATGCAGGTGATATTTAAATATTTTAAAATGTGATCACAATATATAATTATAATAATTACTTATTGCGAATATTGTGTATGTATATATAATGTTTATAATCCAAAATGAAGAAAGACGTGGTATAAAAGGAACTGAAAAAGTAACACTTGCATACAAAGTTTCAATTTTCTTCCCCTTTATCAATGTAAACCTTAAATATTTCTAACTTTGTCTTTTTCTCATGCGGAATAAACGTTTACAGCATCAGTATGCAAAGATATAAGGACTAGAAAATTGAAGAATGATGCGAGTAATCTTGTATCTTTATTAAGAAGTTTAAACTACTGAGCGTTCCAAACCATATTGAATTAACTTCTAGCTTTAGTCCCAAAATCGGCACAAGCATTTATTATTAAAGAAACCATTTATTCTTGGTGTTAGGTACTTTTCCAAAAGCATTTTTTCCAAGGGTGACTTCCCAAGTGAAAATTTTCCAAGTGGCGACTTCCCAGGTGTGCAATTTCCCAAACGGCAACTTCCCAAAGGTTAGGTTAGGCCTCTGAGGCGTCCCAGGCTGCAATGGGAGCTGAGTGCTGCGGCTGGGGGCCAAACACCCCATCTAGTAAAGGATGGGGGGGGGGGTAAATTTGGCAAGTTTTCCTTGAACAGTTGCTACTTGGGAAAAATCCTTTGGGATAGTACCTTTTGTGAACCCAACCAGGGTTCATACCAACGTACATAATCTCATATATGTTCATTGTTCCCAGTCGGAGAAATAATGCACAAAACAAATGCAATCTAAGAATAAAAGCTAAACAAAAAGGGTATTGAACTAGCCTTAAATCTATAACGGTAGGGGGATACGGGTATTGAACCTCTCCTCTTATCTAGATATACCACTCGCTGGCCGCGGGGTGCTTGAGAAAGGGTAGAGATTCAGGTGTAGAGATTCAGGGGTTTTAAACCCTCTTTCTTATCTAGAGAACGGCATTTATCTTGCCATTAGAGAAAGAAGATTGTTGGCGATCTTAGCCATGGAGTTCCATAGGGAAGTTAGTTAGCACGGAGCATCCGATCAGAAGAGTCAAATGGAAATATGTTCGCACCTGGCGAATGTCATTTATACTTAAATCAACTCCAGTTGGTCCAAAAATCGTTTGTGTGTGCAACCATGTTTTTCGCAAAATAAAAATATATTTCTTTGTATGTTAGCTATAGCTAGCTGGTCAAACAGCTGGACCGAATGGGCGGATTTTTTTGAGAAAACCTTTGAGTTCCCCGGGAGTAACATAGTCTAAAAGAAAATCGAATAAATTTTTTTAAAAGTAAAATTTTCTTCTTCAAAAATCGATTTCATTAAAAATTTCACGGGCAACGCCGGGCACTTCAGCTAGTATTATTATTTTTATTATTACTATTATTATTCAATATCTAAAATTTTCTATTTTGAAGACACTAGGGTTTCAAGCGAAAAGGGTAAATCGTTTCGCGAAAACATTTTTTTTCCGCCGAAATTATCTTATTTTTTCGCATTTCGTCTATTTGCATTTTTTTTGCGAAATTTTGCTTTAATCTGTTTCCGAAAAAATGCGAAATTTTCTCGAAATAAGAAATGCATGGGGTCATGAAAATATTTTGCGTAAAAATACGAAAGCAAAATCATAAATTATAATATACAAAAACTTCTAATGTGGAGCATCGTTTTCGCATTTTTTTGCATTGTCTCGCATTTTTTCGCTTAATTCATTTTCGCAAATTTTTTTTTATTTTTTAGCGTAAATTTTCTTTCATTGGAAACCCTAGTAGGTACCAAGAATACAAATTTCTGTATGGGTGAACAAATCTTGGAAAATCTCGCAACAATTTATGATACGTTAGCTGCCATGTACATCCCGAGGTAGTACAACCCAACAAGCTGCCATGTACATCCCGAGGTAGTACAACCCAACATGCTGCCATGTACATCCCGAGGTAGTACAACCCAACAAGCTGACATGTACATCCCGAGGTAGTACAACCCAACAAGCTGCCATGTACATCCCGAGGTCACTTCGCTCATTTATATGTTTATATATAAATATAAATATATACATGTTAGCTATAGCTAATTTGGCTGATTTTTTTTTATAAAGAATCCCATGGATGGGTAACATATAGGCTAAAGAAAATATTTTTTTTCAAAACGTTAGTTTAAATCTTCAAAATTAAATTTTTTTCTTCGACATTTAAAATTTTTTCTTCTTCAAAATTCATTTTTTTTAAGTTCCACGGGCAATGCCGTGCACTTCAGCTGGTTTTCCATATTTAATTGTAATACCTGTAATCTGTTTGATCAAATTTTCAATGTGGACAAATATACTATACACTATACAGTATGTTGTATTTAATCTGTATGTTTTCGTCAATGCTAGACATTTTAGGCACTTCACGCCACCTTTCCTTTTAACAGTTTTCGCTTTGAACTCTGAGAGTCGCATTTTTGATTAGCCATAAACCTTCCCTGGAGTATGATGCTTTGCACTTCTGGTATTTGCAATAGTTTGCAGAACAAAAGATTTTGCGCAATTTCTGGTGCGCAAGCGAATATGCAAATTGCGCGCAACGATTTGTTCGTATGAAAAGGTAAAAAATTAGTTCTAAAATGCAATTACCAACCCCATGCAGAGATTCACAATAATATATAAGAAGCTGAGTCACCCCTGTATGTCGAGTCCATTAGCACCTGATCCAATCATGGTTCAGTCATGTGTGTGTTGTCTATTCTGAACCAATAGAAATAGTATGGCGGTAACATTTATCTTTCTATCTATCTTATTATCCAATTAGAGTTATGAATCCTTCAATCGGCGCTATCAGTAAATGGAAATATTTACTTCTATTAAGACATAGTGGAGCATGGAAGAAATTATCATTTGTGACAATTTTTTCGCGCAAATTACAAAACTGTGCTTGGCACTGAAACCCCTACATATGTACATGTACTTCAAATTAAGCTGATATTCACTGCTTTGTTAATTTATGCATAAAACTTAATTAATTAGTGAATTCTAGAAACCTTTTTTAGAACCCTTATATAAGTGGGCTGCACTTGATCCTGCGTCATATACTTTAGGAATTAATACTTTCCAATCAATGAACAATTGCTATAAATATTTATTATAGTGTTGATGCTTTTAAATAAACATGATTTTATTTTATTTTTAAATTAAAAAACATTTCTTCTAAAAAAGTACTGGGCGCTTTTTTACAATTGTTTAATATTTATGACTCAAGTACCACAATTATTTAATTTCAGTTTATGTTATTGCTACAAAAGTAAACAAAGACACGAAAAATAACAGATTTTTCTGTAGATTGTACATTGTACACAACATGTATTTAAGACAAATAAAAAATATATATTTTCTATAATTTTTATTTTCTACAAGGTCATTTTGACTTTTGAGTTGAGATAGGGGAGTGCATGATATGTGTTCCATTGTTCAACTTTAAAAAAAAACTCAAATTTTTAAAAAAGTCCGTTGGAAAAATGTTTTATTTTTACGTTTGAAAAATATTTTTATGTGACACATGTTATTACATTAACTTTTAAATATATTAATTTTAGCCTAGGAGCTTAATTTATAAACACCGACCCGCCGTTTTACAGTCCTCTGCCCTACCCTATCAAAACTTTTTTTTGGCAAAATTTTTTACAATTATGATGTTTAAAAAGTGAAGAAGTTTTAGCGTTCTAATGTTAGCTGCTTTTGTGTTTTTAGAAAAAACCATAAGCGGTGTGTGTGTGGGGGGGGGGGGGTTGAAAAAACCCCCTCCCAATCGGGCCGGATAGGGTTAAACGCAAAAGTAATTTTGTGTTAACTTCTGAATAAACGTCCTCAGTAGAGTTAAAAATTGAGTATTTGTTTTAGAAATTTTAAAACAATTTTGTAAAAGATGTCAACCCCCATATTTAAGCAAAAACATTGACAAAAGTCTTCAAAAAAATATTTAGAAATTTTACAAAAAAAAAGCCACGCATTCTGAAACCAACATGAAAATGAATAATAAATGTTGTTCATTATAAACTAGAAAGTTTTTAATTTGTATAGAATTTATTTGAAAAGGTTTAGTTGAATAAATTCCTGATAATTTTCCTGGCGAGATCTTTCATGGAGGAGGGTTTCCATTGAACAAGAACTTCTAAACAGAACAAACAAAATAATAAAATTTTCCAGAGTTAAGATTTTAGGTAATTACTGAGTAAGTAAATAAGTAAGTACGTAATATTTATACTACATTACAAATAATAAGTGGCAGAAGATATACAATTCGCAGGATAGCGTTTTAGAACTTAATTATCCTAGCAAAGTCTTTAGAAGAAATACACAAAATATAACCCATTGGTAATAACTTGGATGGAATGTACAAGGTGGCTATTATAGGATGTGCTGGATTGATGGATTATACAGATTTAACAAGATTTTGGTTTTTTCTTTTCAAACGTTTAAACCCTTTAATATTGACTCAAGATATCTTCTGTTTACAAATTAATCAATAAATATACTTTGCTTGTCTGTTTGTTTAAGTCTCAAATAAATTTCAAAACTGCTGAACCGATCAAGTCCATATTTTGTGTGGGGCCTCAAATGATCCCAGGGAAGGTTTATAGAACATCAAAATTGGGGGAAAAAATCCTGGAAATTTAAAATTTGTTATTTTTGAAAATGCACCAATTCGAAAAAAATCTGTCAAAATTCTTAAATGATTTTAAATAGCCGACTTTTTTAACAACAGTTATTTACAGAAAAGGGGGCGCGAAGCGCTTTACAAGCCTAGTCAAATTTATGTAAAGATTTTTACCAGCGTTATGTTTTAATGATAAAGGCGACATTTCAGCAAAATCTGATCTGGAAATAAAGAGAAGAAAGCAATAACTTATTTCTTTATTATATATTTTAGGAATGATTTTGTAACTTTACAAAAAAGAAAATAAATTATCTCAAAGTGTCAATCCTTTACCCCCCCCCTTTACCCCTGCCAACTTGGAATAGAATTAGTGGAGAGCATATTTCCCGTAATCTTACTTGTTTTTGTGATTGACAGTAAAGAAAATATTATCTTTTAGATATCCTAGCAGGCCATTCCATCTCCCGATTCCAACTCCTCAAACCAGCAACTAGTTCAAACAGGTCACATGTCTTTTCATGTACAGGGTGTCCCAGAATAGCTTAGGACTTAATTATAAAGGGTGTGTTACCGTCGTTTAATTTCCAGGTTGAATTGGACACCCTGTATAACATGTAAATATATTTAATGAAACTCTTCGCTCATTTGTTTGTCGTTATAGCTGAGGCCAAACGGCTGGACCAAATTAGCAGAAATGTTTGATGGAACCCATGGGTACCCCTGAGGTGACATAGGCGAAAAGAAATTTGTCTATAGTTTTTAATTCCACGGGTAATGCAGGGCACGTCAGCTAAGATAATGATTTAAGACCATATGCGAGTGAACGCCCGGTGTTCGAGTATACGTATCCTGGGCAACGCCGGCCATATTTATATAAGGCGTGATTTCTCAAAAATATACTAAACGAGTATTGGGGTGCAGAACTGATTCAGGATTTAAGGATTTTTTTTACTTAAAAGACTCAAAAAGAGTCAAAACTAGATTTTTAACTTTTCACACATTATAGTTTATTAAGACAGATATTTTTCCTGTTTTGCACTAGGGTTTCTTTCCCTTAAGCATGCTATTGAGAAGCTTTTCTGAAAATAGGAACAAAAAATTCCAAATTCAGGGGGGGAACGAATGTCCCCGCCCCCCATGTATCCGCCCCTTTATTGGGGTGGGAAGGGGGATCAATTTTATGTTTACAAATTTTAGAATTTAAAGGGGTTAAAGTTTTTTAATGGGAACCCTATTTAAAGTATTAAAAGTTTAAGACATATATTTTTAACCGTCTTTTGAAGTAGTCTTTCCTTCTTCACAGCACATTGGGACACCTACTTTGTTTACAGTCTTGATAAGTTCTACAATAGGTAATAATTAAACATTTATTAGTGCTACTTTTCTTGAATATGAAGATTTATAATGATAATTGCTAATGCTACTTTCCATATTGATAAAGATTCAAATTGATCCTTACTACTTCTCTTTGTGTAACTTCCTTTAGTGCAACTCTAGTGCTACTTCTCTTAATGCTACTTCATCTATACTTCTTCTTGTGCTACTTTCCATGATGATGAAGGCTCATATAGATCGATGCAATGTCTTTTTGAACTACTTCCTCAAGTGATACGTCATCTAGTGCTACTTCCTAAAGATGTACTTGCTCTAGTGCTACTTCCTCTAATGTGTTAATTCTTCTTGTGCTACTTTCCATGATCATGAAGGTTCATGTTGATCCATGCAACTTCTTCTAGTACTACTTCCTCTTGTGCTACTTCTTCTGTTGCTACTTTTCCTTAATCATGAAGATTTAAATCATGCTACTTCTTCTCCTGCTACTTTTCTTGTTCATAAAGGTTAATATTAACCCATGCTACTTCTTCTACTGCTTCTTGCCTTGTTCATAGTGGTTAATATTAACCCATGCTGCTTGTTCTCCTGCTATTTTTCTTGTTCACAAAGGTTAATGTTGTCCCATGCTACTTCTTCTCCTGCTACTTGCCTTATTCATAAAGGTTGATATTATCCCATGCTACTTCTTCTCCTGCTACTTGCCTTTTTCATAAAGGTTGATATTATCCCATGCTACTTCTTCTCCTGCTACTTACCTTGTTCATGAAGGTTAATATTAACCCATGCTACTTCTTCTCCTGCTACTTACCTTGTTCATGAAGGTTAATATTAACCCATGCTACTTCATCTCCTGCTACTTGCCTTCTTCATAAAGGTTAATATTAACCCATGCTACTTCATCTCCTGCTACTTGCCTTCTTCATAAAGGTTAATATTAACCCATGCTTCTTCTTCTCCTGCTACTTCTTCTAATGCTTCTTGTCTTGTTCATGAAGATAAATACTAATCCATGCTAATTCTTCTCCTGCTACTTATTCTATTTCTACTTGCCTTGTTCATGAAGATCGATATTAACCCATGCTACTTCTTCTCCTGCTACTTATTCTAGTTCTACTTGCCTTGTTCATGAAGGTTGATATTAACCCATGCTAATTCCTCAAGTGCTATATACCTTGCTCATGAAGGTTGATATTAACCCATGCTAATTCTTCGAGTGCTATTTACCTTGTTCATTAAGGTTGATATTAACCCATGCTACTTCTTCTCCTGCTACTAAAACCCAGAAAGTGACATGCATCTACAATAATTGGTGTCCACGAATGACCAGCTTTTGAAAATAGATGCGTGCGGTAGCTTTTCCCATTTCAATGTGTAACGTGCACAAATCTAAATATTTTGCTCAATATCTCTAAAACTCTAAAATATAATCGCTCCTGAAGTTTGAAAAAGACCTACATAGCTCCGAAATATTTTTTTCTGAAATTTATATGTTACAAATCATTTTCTTTGCATTTGTCCAGAAAGATGAAATCCGTGAATTTTAAAAAAAAAATTCGAAAAATCAGTGAGTTATAAATAAAAAACCGCTAAAATGTAATTTCTAGAAAACGAGCATTTTGGATGGTTTTTTACCTTTCTTATTTATTGAAATTTTTTTTCAAAAATTTAACGGATCCGAGTTCTCTGATTGAAAACAAAGAAATTGATATATGTAACATCAAAATTTTATGAATTTTTTTTTGCTTTCTCTTCAGGACTTTTTAAAAGATTGCAGGCGATTTTCCTAAAACTTAAAACGTATCGACCTAAAATTTTCAGATATTATAATTTCAGTAAGTTATAGTCTAATGGGAAAAATTACCGGGCCCATCGCGCGCGCCATTTTTAAAAATTTGTAATCATTTGTTAACACCTTAATTTACAAACAATAAACACCAGACATTATTTTTCATATTAATGCAGATAAAACTTTATGAAATTAAACATGAAACATAATAGATTAAAAAAGTTCATAAGCATGAAACTAAGCATGAAACTAAGCATGAAACATAACATGAAACAAAACATGAAACAAAACATGAAACAAAACATGAAACAAAACATGAAACAAAACATGAAACAAAACGTGAAACTAAGCATGAAACATAGCATGAAACAAACATAAAACAAAACATGAAACATATAACATAAAACAAAACATGAAACATAACATAAAACAAAACATGAAACATAAGCATGAAACATAGCATGAAACAAACATAAAACAAAACATGAAACATATAACATAAAACAAAACATGAAACATAACATAAAACAAAACATGAAACAAAACATGAAACTAAACATGAAACTTACATGAAACAAAACATGCAACAAAACATGAAACTAAACATGAAACTAAGCATGAAACTAAATATGAAACTAACACGAAACTTAATGGATTAAAAAGAGTTCATAAGCATGAGATAAAACATGAAAGAAAACATGAAACTAAACATGAAACTTAACATGAAACAAAACATGAAACAAAACATGAAACAAAACATAAAATAAACATGAAACTAACTAAAGAAACTAAATATGAAACCAACCATGAAACTGAACATGAAACTAAACATGAAACTAAACATGCAACTAAACATGAAACTATATGAAACTTAGCATGAAACTAAACATAAAACTAAACTTGCATCTAAAACCTGAATCTCTATAAAACTAAACATGAAACTTTATGAAACTAAATATGAAACTTAATATGAAATTTTATGAAACTAAACATAAAACTAAACATAGAGAATGCTCATTTTGAACCATTGTTTTTGTGGAAAAGTGAAATCATAATTGTAAATTGAATGACATTTGAATTCTAGATTTTGATGATTCTTGAGGGAATCATATTAATTTAATAATATTGAAACTAAGTTCAGTAACTGCATACTTTTAAACTTGAACTTCAAAGAATTTAAAGCTCTGACCGTAGAGTAGTGGTGCACATTGAAAATTTGAAACCTTTATTCGCATTTATAATAAATAGATAAATGATAATTTTGGTAAACATTCAAACTTTAAAGGGAGTGTTCGCTTTTGATCAATACTAATCTTATTTCTATCTGTTGCGTCTATAAGGAGAAAATTCTTAAAAACGACTTATACTGAAGAATTTAGCGTCCATACAAATTCAGAAAGTTGCAATACACGACTCGCATCGTAAATAATTAATTTAATTCCAAACAAATCATTTAGGTATTACAACCAAAAGTCATCGATTATTTTTCGACGCAGTTGTATATAGTTAATATTTCATTATATTTGTTATTTGTTTTATATACAATGCACTTAAAAAGACTTTTTTCCGCTAGGTGTCTCTGCCACGTGTAATCATTCAAAGCATCAAGAGCAGCAATATTTGGCGGCAAACTATTTCGGCGTTTTAAGTCGGGAGGGGGGGTGGGGGAGGGGTGTCATGGGGACCCCCCTCGGTCGGACTCGGAATAGGGTTGTTAATAGTAATTAAGATAAAACATTTTCAATTTTTGTTTTCAAAGTTTGGTCACTTCTAATGTTTACTCATTGCTTTGGTAAAAGCTATAAAATAGAATCAAATCTCCAGTTGTTAAAATTTAAATGATAAGATTGACAGCTCACCTCCACCGTATTCCCGTTATTTATCAAGCAAACTGAAGAATACAAAATCAAGCAACTTTTACTTTTTAGAAACAAGAAAAGAAAAATGATTTTAAGCAAACCAGGAGAAAATGAAAATTAAGAAATCTATAAATTTGAAAAATGTTAATTACTCATCTTTAATTAACGATTATTTAACATATAATTCCTTGTCCATCTTGTATTTAAGTATTTTTGTTATTTCTTGAAGAAGTTGTTTGATATTTTTCCTGAGTTTCCACTGAAAATAAAAACAATAAAAAACTTTTTTACTATAAAATCTTTTTACGACCAGACACTATGACATTATTGTAAAAGTTGATAATGTATTCTAGCAATTAGTTTCTGGATAATTCTTTTTATATAAAATAAGTTTTTTGAAGTTTTGCAACTTTTGGTTTTTCAGATTTCCAGAACAATTTATTTCATTATTTGTATTTTTTACCGGATTCTTCTGATTGGACCAATACAGAGTTTAGAGTTCTGCCAGGACCTGAATAAATGTGCTAGGTGGATTTTTTATGATTTGTTTTATATAAATATAATAATCCCTGCCAAATGGACCAGGAGTGTTATTACTCCATGCCAGGTGGACCAGGAGTATAAATACTGCTTGCCAGGGGGACCAGGAGTATAAATACTCCCTGTCAGGTGGACCAAGAGTATAAATACTCCCTGTCAGGTGGACCAGGAGTATAAATACTCCCTGTCAGGTGGACCAGGAGGATAAATGCTCCCTGTCAGGTGGACCAGGAGTATAAATACTCCCTGTCAGCCAGACCAGGAGTATAAATACTGCTTGCCAGGGGGCCCAGGAGTATAAATACGCCCTGTCAGGTGTACCAGGAGTATAAATACTCCCTGTCAGGTGGACCAGGGGGATAAATGCTCCCTGTCAGGTGGACCAGGAGTATAAATACTCCCTGTCAGGTGGACCAGGAGTATAAATACTCCCTGTCAGGTGGACCAGGAGTATAAATACTCCCTGTCAGGCGGACCAGGAGTATAAATACTCCCTGTCGAGTCAGGTGGACCAGGAGTGTAAATACTCCCTGCCAGGTGGACCAGGAGTATAAATACTCCCCACCAGGTTGACCAGCTGAATATATACTCACTACCAGTTTGACCAGCTGGATATATACTTCCTACCTGGCGCACCCTAGAAAGGTGTTTTCCTCGCCATTTCCTTCCTGCGTTACTCTATTCTCTTTGGTTACTAAATATATAAAATAATTATAAATATCTTGTCCTGGTATTTAAAGCGTGGATTCTCGAGAACGGTTCTAATTTAACCTTTACAATGGAAGAACGAGGAGGAAATTGTCGTTCTTTTATCTTGAAATTGTTGGATTCTTTAACATTTTTCTATTCGCTCTGGACTATGAATCTGAAAGTTACTTTTAAAGAGAAACCACAATTTAGATAAATCAATTTTCAGCCTAGAAATAAAACTTCTTGAAGATCTTGAATTCTATCGTTTTGTGAATCTTTAATCGAATGAAGGGACACTTAAAGGGACTGTAAAGGCTAAAACCTGAGAATCTCAGGCGTTGAACGATACATATAAGACATCTATCTGATGATCCTGTCTCTAGAAATTGATAACAAAAACTGTGTCTTTATACCAAAATCAGTGTATCCCAAATTTTGTATAAAAATAATAGGATTAAACAGATCAAATTCAACAAATACGCAACCAATCTGAAACCAACGATATCCCAGAGGAGTCTAAGTAACCTAGGTTTGATCTTATTATAAATTTATCATTTTTATTTTTCACTTAAAATAGATATAATTGATATGGATTCCAGTTTTCCTGTTCCCAGATTTTCCTCATAATTCTCGAGCATTATTAACTTTCATAGAGTACTGCAGTACAGTACTCTGACCGAAAAAATAGTGCTTTTAGTGGAGAGTCAGTGGAAGAAGGAGGGATGTAGAATGAGGGGGGGGAGAAATAGAAAGGGTGAGTAGGAGGAGGGATGAGAAGAGTTCCAAAAATATATATATTTATAACAGGGTGTTCCAAAAATATATATATTTATAACAGGGTGTTCCAAAAGCATTTTCCCGAGCAGCAACTTCTCAAAGGTTGCAATGGGGGGGGGGGAAGCGTTGAAACTAGGACTGACATGAGAAGATGCCGCTTTAAAAACTATAAAGTTGGAAAAATCCCCCAGGGAAGTTGCCGCTTGGGAAAATGTCTTTATGAAAATTAAGTTCTACCTAACATCGTTTAACAATTATAGTTTTATTAATTATATTATTTTAATTATTATATTGTTACCGTTTACTTATATCATCAAGAGCCAGGATTTTACTGTCAACCTGAGGAGAAGAACTTCAAAGACATTAATTAAATATTTTAGATAATTGCTCCTTGCTAAATAATTCTAAGAAAATATGTTCTCAGGTTTTCAAAATTTGCTTCCCAGAAAGTGGTGGTGGTGCGAGGGGNTTTCTATTTTCTTATTTTTGCAACCTTTGATATTTTTATCATGACTTCTGCACTAGCCCAAATATTCAATATTTGAAATATCCAAGGTTTACACCATCAGGGTGAAAGACATTAGAACTATAAAATTATAATTTGTGACGAGTAATCAGGTACTTTATTCGGCCTGGGCAATATAGTTTATTACTTTCTTTCTTAATTATATTGTAATGATCTCTTTATTAAAATAATCCAACTTGCAATAATTATATCAATAAAGGTTTAAACAAACTTAGGAAAATTCAGATTTTAGGAAAATTCATTCGTATTTATGGTTCAAGTTTACATATTGGAATTTTCAATCTCACTATGATTGCATATTATCTATTATTATTACCATTTTTTAATTGTAAATTACATAAAATCAGGTTCTCAGACAAGAATATAAGTGACCTGGGTTTAATACAAGAAAATAAATTGACCTGAGTTGGTTTAATGCAAAAATATAAATTGACCTGGGTTGGTTTAATGCAAGAATATAAATTGACCTGAGTTGGTTTAATACAAAAATATGAATTGACCTGGGTTGGTTTAATACAAAAATATTAATTGACCTGGGTTGGTTTAATGCAAGAATATAAATTGACCTGAGTTGGTTTAATACAAAAATATGAATGTTGGTTTAATACAAAAATATTAATTGACCTGGGTTGGTTTAATACAAGAATATAAATTGACCTGAGTTGGTTTAATACAAAAATATAAATTGACCTGAGCTGAAAACTTTACAATGAGATATCCTTAATCCCGATCTGTTAATTAATCTGGAGATTATATTCATGAGGAGAACAAGTAATATTTAATCTGGAGATTAAGAAAAAGAGGAGATCAAGCATTAATCTCGATATCCACCATTCTAAAGTTTTCAGCTCTGGGTTGGTTTAATACAAAAATATAAATTGACCAGGGTTGGTTTAATACAAGAATATAAATTGACCTGGGTTGGTTTAATACAAAAATATAAATTGACCTGGGTTGGTTTAATACAAGAATATAAATTGACCTGAGTTGGTTTAATACAAAAAGCAGTTGATGGAATAGGTCTTCCCCTGGTAGATAAAGACTGAGGATAGGATTTTACCCAGGTAACCATTTTCTCTATGAAAACCTAACGATATGTTATTTTTGTTTTTATCAAAAATATTTTTACATTCACGTAAAAATGTATTAAACTTTTAAACCTTCGTATTGTGAACTGGTGACCGTGTCACAATTGGGAATGGGGAGGGGGGGGGGTGTTTTCCAAATCCTCCTCTTTTGTTTCTTTCGGTGTAACTTAACGGCTTACACTAGAACGCTCAAATTTCTCCACTCTTTCAACTTTATATTTGTGAACAAATTTTGCAATGTTTTTATGCATAGGTTAGGGTGGAGAACTGTCAAATAGCGGGTCGGTGTTTCAAAAAATTAAATACTCAGTTGATAACTTTTTATTTATAATACTCAGTTGATAACTTTTTATTGATATTTATAAACAATTTTTGGACACCATGCATGAATATTATTATGACTGCAGACTTGAATAAAAGTTGTAGAAGAATAAAAATATAAAATATGTTGGTTTGTTAATGCAGTGAATACTACTGAACCTTGAATCTTGGAACAACTGGCAACTGTAAATAATTAATCAACAGATTAATAAATAAATGAATAGAAAGTAAATAAGATTTTAATCATAGTGCACGCCACAAATGTCACAAAAGATATTTATTTACTCGGGGTAAAAACGAGTTTTGTCATCTAAAGGGACGATTCCCAATTTTACTTATGATACATAGTACTGCATAAACAAATAAATAGCTGTTCGCATAGTGGACAATTTTTTTTAAAGAAAATACTTATTCTTGACCAAAAATAATCTTAATTGATTTATAAAAATTCTTTTGGCACAACCTATGAAGTCATGTTTATTGAAAGATTAAAAACAAACTGCAGATATGCCTTTTAGTTTACACCTACTTTTGGAAAAGTCCGCAAAAATTTTACATTCTAAACTTGATAAATTTTAGAAAACTATAAAACATGCTGTATTAAAGAAATAAGAAATAGGAATTATATTAGGATCGGTCAGGCGGTCAGTAGGTTTTAGAAGATGATTTTTTATACTAATTCCCAGTGGTTTTTTTTACAGGAAACAGTAAATCGAACTAGGCGTGTTCCACCTTTCTTCTATTTATAAACTTTATTACTTCTAGATTCTTAATCTTGCATACACCCCCCCCCACACAGTCACACACACTCATATATATATACACATATATTTATATATATTGGTATGTTTAGTCATGTTATTAAAATATATTCCAATAATAGCTTCAACCAAGGAGTTTTACAAAAAGTAGTTTGTGATATTTTGATTTCTGGCATTATGGTAGACTTGAATTGTAGTAGACTTGTTTTGTGATAGACACGTTTTATAAAAGACATGATTTGTAATATTAATGTTTTCTTGTAGACATGTTTTGCGGCAGAAGATTTTTGTGGTATGCATGTTTTGTGGTAGACATGTTTTTTGCAGACATGTTTTAAGGCAGACTTGTTTTGTTGTATTTATGTTTTGCAATAGACATGTTTTGCGGTGGACTTGTTTTGTGGTAGACTTGTTTTGTGGTAGACTTGTTTTGTGGTAGACTTGTTTTGTGGTAGACTTGTTTTGTGGTACACTTGTTTTGGGATAGACTTGTTTTGTGATAGACATGTTTTGTAGTAGGCATGTTTTGTGGTAGACATGTTTTGTGGTACTGGTACATGCTTGTTTTGTTATAGACTTGTTTTGTGATAGACATGTTTTCTGGTAGACATTTTTAGTGATAGACGTGTTTTGTGGTAGAAATGTTTTGTGGTAGACTTGTTTTGTGGTGGACATGTTTTGTGGTACTGGTACATTATCTGGAGAACAAGTTTAGTGTTTTAGTAAACAGGTTTTGTGACACTGTTTGTGTGGGATACATGTGTAGGATACATGTGTAGGATACATGTGTAGGATACATGTGTAGGATACATGTGTAGGATACATGTGTGGGATACATGTGTGCTAGAACATATTTTGTGAACAAAACTTTGCATGTTCACCGTCCCTTAAAAAGTTTCTAATTTAGTATATTTCAAATGTTTTTCATTTTGATATTTTTTCTAAAATAATTATTTAAAACTTATTTGTTCCTCGATTTAATATTAAAGAAATGCATGTAAGCATAAATCTATAAAAGCACTTCTCGTGGTCTGATCAGTCATAATAATTTTTTACAACATTTCTATTCCTACTTTTTTTTACATAATGGTATGGAAACATTGGTTTAAAATAGTATTAACAATTCAATCTGTAGTTTCGTTTTGATTTTGTCATTTCTCAGACGTTAAACATGGAGCTGTGGACCTTCAATACATATATAGTTTGCTTGTCTAGCTGTTTGTCTGTTTTTATCCAATAAAAGTCAAAACGGCTGAACCGATCGAGCCAACATTTTGTGTGGGACCTTGAATGCCCCCAAGGAAGGTTTATGGATGATAAAAACTCCAAAAATTAGCCTCCAACGAAATTCGATTTCCATCATATCCGTGAAGTTTCTTGTTTTTGTTTTACAATGTACACAAAGAGAAAATGTTTGAAATAGAAACTAGAATTGTTTTTCGCTGCTATTAAGTAATCTAAATATTGATTTCTTAACTTTTAATATTTGACATAGTTCTCTGTCTGAGTCTGAATTAGTTTTTAAACATTAAAAAAGTTTTCTTAAATTCTTAAAAGGTTCTTGTAACAAACTCAGATTATTTGATCACTTTATCTTTGCAACCTGGTAGTATCTAAGATAGTTGATAGTTTAAACATAGACTATTTGATATAATAGAATTGATAGTTTAAACAACAGATGTGTATGAAACACCAGGTTACAAAGAGATATATTTTCACAAGAGTAAATTTGATGTCTTGGCTTTTACTATTTTGTTATCGCTGCAAGTCTGAATCCATATATAACATCTGACAGTTTTTAATTTCTTATTTTAACTTCACCGAAAAAAAACTTCAAACCCTCTTGAAAAAGGAACTCATCATTGAATAATATATTAATTACTTGAATTTATGTATATTTATTTTAAGTATAGAAACAATTTCCACTTTTAGGGTTTTCTGTCTCTCGTCGTTCGTACTCATAATCAATCTCCTGTCTAAACATAAAAATGCAAGTATTTCATTTAAACAAATAATAAACAGTTTTCATTTATTCAAGTTCCTTTTTTTTAAAGAAGCTTAACAAACATTCTTGAAATTATATCAAATTGATATTTTGAAATTTTTATTTTTCGAATTTCGAATTTCGAATCATTCATTAACAGACTTTTTTGTCTTGTCATATAGTACACATTTTAATTGCTTAATTGATAAATACTGAAAAGTCGGTTGGTTGACAGCATAGATAAAGATAGATTGCGCATAAGACGACATTTTTCATCTTGACCGATATAAATGTACAGAGATGTTTTAAAGATATTCCTATTATATAGATTAACTAGGTTAGTTGTGAACATTGCCTGTTCTTATGTCATTGAGTACTTGAGGTGTACATGAGTTTTGTAGAGAGAAATTTAAGTTAGTATAGTCCTTCTCATGTCCTTCTTCAGTTCTCGTCAATATGATATATTGCTCAGTGAAATATTGTTGTTCTAATAGTTCCATTCCCGGAGTTATTTTACACTCTATTATGAAATCCATTAAACACCAAACCACCCCGCTTATCATTGAAGTACACTTTAACCCCTAGAAGTATGAGTTCGCGGACTGTACAATTCTTGGTGATTTTGCGTACATAAACTATCTATGTTTATTTATTTATCTATGGTTGACAGCCAAAAAACCTTTGACCTTTTAAACCTTTTTCTGACTTAGGATATGACGACAATTTCTTTATTTTTCTGGCTAAAAATTGGGTGCTGGAAAATTCCCGGCATTGATGATCAGTTATAAGTCTGTACTGTAGGTACCAATAGTTAATCGAAATTAAAATTTTAAAAATAAAGATAAGTGTGAGATCTTTACAGTCCAATTAAAAATATTCCTAGGTTTTACTTACTAAATATACTTTGCATGGATGGAGGGGGGGGGGGGGGTTGTATCCAATAAACGGCAAACGGATCCGACCCAATTTTTTGGTGGAACCTCACATGAACCCAGGGAAGGTTTATGAGATGGTCAGAATTCATATAATTTCCCTTAACAAATTAAATTTTTCAAAATTGATAATTTAAGAAAATATGCCGCATATAGAATAACAATAAAAAGTTAAAATCGAAGATGGGCGCGAAGCGTCCTTCAAGCCTAGTGATAGGAAAGATTATATATATTTAAGTAATACAAATACTAGCGGCATGACAGAATACAAGTTTATAAAAACAATTATATTCGGTGAGAGACAGCAAATGTGAAATCAAATTTTTACTTCCAAATGTAATTGCTAATTTTCAAACACAAAAAAACGTTGCCTGTTTTTTGTAAATATATAGAATTTAAAATAGATATAATTGGTTTGATGAATATATTGCGCAGAATTTTTTTTCGATTCTCAGCATGTTGATCAATACCAACATATTTTTAGAAATTATGAACAGAAAATTGGGAATATAACAATGAGTTTGGTATTGTTTACAAAATATTTTGATTTCTACTAACAAGCTTTGGATATTTTAGTTTTTAGTTTTAGAAAAATAATTTGAAGTTTTACTTTAATCAAATAAAGGTCACTAGGTTTAGAGACATTTCACATGTTTTCAGAAGTATTCTACAGGAAAAGTCATAGATATCCAATTTCACATAATTTAAAATATCTTTCATTTTATTTTCCAATAGAAAATTATAAGACTTTTTCTGTTCAATTTTTCTCTGAACATTCCTCTCTCTATGAAACGTACTCTATGAAATATGAGATTTATGAAATCCCCCATAATCATTATAAATTGGACTATAAGCGTAATTACACATGAACCTCCAATAAAAGATCTATAGATTATCAAATTTGAAAACAAACGTCTCAAGCTATAAAAACGACAGTATCTTCCACATTTTTGATCAGATAATGGTTTCAAGGGTATCATTGTGTATTGGGCACTGCTATTTGTATCACTTTATATTACGCTTACAGTCCCTTTAAGAACAAAGAGCAGTACCTTGAGCATTGACTCCACTCCACTATAGTCCCAGACTGTGAAGGTGTCATGATAAACATATTTTCTGGACATGTCGAAGGGACATTATATGTGTTAGGATTCTTAGGATTAACTCCTGATCAAAGAGATGGGCATAGTTTTTTGAAAGAACAAAATTTTTGAGAATAAACGAAATTTGTCGTTCAGGAAAAAACGAACGATGGACAAACAAGATGGATAGTTCAGAAAATAACAAATGATCGTTGTTTTACTAAAAAAACTATATAAGAAAAAAACTCTCGTTTTTTTAACTGACATATTTTACTAAATGGTCGTTCAGTAAGAAGACGAACGTAAAAGATGGAAAATGAACGACAACTTTGAGAATGAACAAAATCAATATTTTTGAACGATCAAAAAAACGAAATGGGTCGTTCGCAAACGATGAATGAACAAAATGAAAAGGTGGAAAGTGCCCATCTCTACCTGGTTGGTCTCCGTCATGGTTAGCACCAATAATATGTCCCATCTCATGAGCAAGTAGAGCTGGCATATTATCCAGGTGTCTACCATCCCGTAGTGTTACTGTAGTTAACCCTGTACACTCTCTACACATAATAATATAGAAAAATATTAACAATTTATTATCTTTTTAAATTATTATTAATATTATTGTTATTATCATTATTATTATTATTATTATTATTATTCAAAACTGTATTTATCCTTTAACCCTTTAATTCTTTATCTGAATAACAATAAGAAAGATAACGTCGTTTTTTCTATTTGGAAGAGTCCTACATTCTTATAGTTTTTTTCTCTCTATTGCATTAATCCATAAGTCACATTTAATGAGAAAACACAAATGAAAATTATCTTTTTTTTAGATCAAAAACTAGGATATGTTTTGTTTAAATGGTATTGTTGTGAATTGTAAACGACTCTATTAAAATTAAATATTGCTTTACGAAATTTAACTTACACTTGGCACACAGTACTGATATACGCTACCCCTGCATCTCCACCTATACAGCATTCAGTATTCAGTATTCAGTATTCAGTATTCAGTATTCAGTATTCAGTATTCAGTATTCAGTATTCAGTATTCAGTATTCAGTATTCAATATTCAGTATTCAGTATTCAGTATTCAGTATTCAGTATTTAGTATTCAGTATTTAGTATTCAATATCCTGTATTTACCAATGTTATATTTATCATGAGTCCCACTGAGCAGAATATTCATGTCATAGCTTCTACGGTATCCATCATACCTTTCATTCTTCTCACGAGCATAGTCCTACAATATTTATATTTATATAGATATATTTTTGGCTTGTCTGTTTATATTTAATAAACGTTAAATGGGCAAAATTGACCGTGAAAAATTAGTTTAACTTACATGAATCTATAAATGAAGATTTATGATTGGTCACAGTTGAAAAATTTATAAATTTTTGTAATATTTAAATATCGTAAAAATACAAAGAGTTTCTCTAACCTAGCTATATTTTGTGTATTATTTCAATTTGTCTCCATATCGTTACTTTTTGCTTTTTCACAAAAAAAATTCTTCCATTGTTCCAAACAATTTCTTTCAATATTTTATCAAAATGTTTTAAAAATATTTATAATCCTTGTATTTTAATCTTTTTGTTTTTTCCTAAAGAACTAGACTTAGCCTTGTTAAGCAAGGTTTTAAGATGCGTCTGAAATAGCTTCCATGTTTTTCTAAAATTTAACCTTTCTTAATCTTTGTTTTTCCTGGAGAGAGGACCCCTAGACATTTGAGAAGTTGCCGCTTGGAAAATTGCAAGTTTGGGAAGTTGTCAGTCGAAAATTGTCAATTGGGAAATTACCAGTGCAGCCTAATTGGGAAAAATTGTACGAAACCCTTAGAAACGTAAACGTATAGCACCATATATGCATTAACAAGTTCTGTATTGTTTGCGTTTTTCTGAAAAGTATAGTATCGTTTTCAGAAAAAAAGTATAGCTCACAACAAACGAACCACTCGTTTTGAACTTTTAAACAACGAAAAACGAAACAACAAAACAACTACAAAAATGTTCGCTAATGAATTATGAATTTTATGACAATTAATTATAAAAAAAATTTCAGGAAGAGAATGAATGTTGTCTTAAATGTTTTTTTTTACGAGAGAAATTACCTGAATGTTTTCTGACCTAAGGTTTTTCTGACCTATTAGGTTTCAAACCAAAAAATGTATTTTGTCTAAAAAATTATTGTTAACGATCGTATAAAAATAAAAACCACCTATTTTCGTTAACGAAATCGCGACGCTCTAAAAGTAAAAAATGACTTTTTCTTTTTTTTAATGAAAAAGGATCGTTTTTTAAAACACCCGTTTCGTTTTTTCTTTTTTTTTCTTCGTCGTTCACAAAAAGAAACGATCGTTTTATAAAATAGTGGAAACGATCCATCCCTATATATCGGAATATCGAGAATAAACTAAGGTATGAAGAATCTCTAACCTGGAAAGCTGCGAGTTGTTGAAGTTGGTCTGAAGCATCATGAACAGATTTCACCAATGGATCAGAATCATCCTACAGATATAAATATATAGGTAGAAGATAATCAACCATGAGGATGGATAGATAGATCATACAGGGTGTCCCAATAAACATGGGAAATAAGTGACGAATTCGATATCGTCTTTTTAAATAATTCTTTGATTTAGCATAGTGATACCTACTGTAATCTGTAAGAGTTTCGTGTGCTATGTTTACATTTTGTTTGTTTATGTTTTGACTGCATACGGTTGTACTTAGTAAAACAAGAAAATTACAGTATGCAAACAGAGTAAATTTGTCCGTCTTCACTGTTCATCTTGCGGAGACATTATAGACACATCTTTACAGTCTTTTACCCTTTTCATAAAATAAACTCTAGCATACATAATAATATCATGGCTTTTGAAATTAGGTATTACAATGTTAATTCATCACAAAGACGATATCGAATTCGTACTGAATTCCCATGTCTTTGGGTCACCCTGTAGATAAATCCCTTTTATAGTAAAACTAGTAAATTTTTGTGAATCCAGCAACCGTGCTTCTCATTTGACATAGAAGGAAAAGGCCAAATTTATACGACAGTATAAGAATATTTGGATACAGACACATCTTCATTACATTTTAATATAGACATTTGGTGTGAGAATGTGTAATATAGAGAACCTTTATCTTTTAAGACGCATTTTCTCTATTTTGACTTCTAATTGTAGCTCTTTCTCTAAGCACCTTCTCTTTGTACAGTATGAAACAGTAACAAAAAGTTCGCGGATTTTCAAATATTATTTAGCACATTTTTGAAATTTTACAAAAATCAAAAGACGAACATACAAACAGACAGACAGACAAGCAAAGTATATATATGTAGAAGAAATGAATTAAGAAAATATTTACCTTCCAAATATTGATTCCATTAATTGCCAGCTTAAACCCTCCTGCAGCAAATAAAATGGTAAATGGGGTTAGATAAGTCGTTTAATGTTTATTTTTGTAAATGACGTTGGCAAACTTTAGTTTTCTTAACTGATGATAGTTTTAAAATTTAAAAGAAACTGATTGTGTGAATCTAGCGATCAATCATTGATCTCCATGTTATGTGTAAAAAACGGATTAATTCAATTCCTCTTCGATATCGATCCTGTGATGGTAAAACCCTGCAAGGATAACTTTAAATTGATGGTCAATCATTGAGCCTAAAAGCGCCCCAATTGGGTATCGACATCAAACATTCAATATTAACGAGTTCCCCACAAAAATTCTGATCTCTGAATCTAAATAAACATATTTAACCTTGTGAAGATATTGTTGGATGTTGAAACAGTGTCTCCGTATTAACAACAAGACTGTGGATCATATCCAGCATTGCAACCTTAGCATCTTCCTCACTACCAGCTATCTGGGTCTACAGTAGCATGGCTTTAATACATTTATCTATACTCCAGATATAATTGCTAGAAACATCATTGTTAGAAACGCTGTTATTTACTTCGAGCTTTTATGTACTTTTAAACAATCAAAGTAAAGATGTGAACACTAAAACATCTATGGCAAGACGTAAACTAGAGGTTCTTCAATAACTGTTCTTCAAGATATTGTGTTTCAAGCAATCATATCTGCACTTAATGAATAATTTTTGTAATATTTCAGCAAAGTATGCAATTACATAAATTTTTAAATCCAAACTTAAAATAATCTAAAAATTGATCCTGTTTGGTCCCTCTATATAGTCTATATTAATAATTTAATTTTTGATTAGATTTCAAAATTCTTTAAAATCTGTTAAAAAACCGTCATGAAATCAAGAGAAGGAAAAATAAAAATATGATGTTGAAAATTACAAACTTGCATATACTGTTAACGTAATTTAAAGTAACTCTAAATTCAAACCGTTGGATTCCCGATTCTCTATGGTACCCTTTAGTTCTTTGTCGAATTCACAATAAGGATAATATCGTCGATTTTTTTTCCGGAATAGTTTAAAAATCCGTAATTTTTACATTTGAAAATAATTAATTTTTGTATTAAAGAACAGGATCATAACTCCATCTCCTCGCTTAAATAAAGGTTTAAAGGGTACCATTGTGAATCAGACATGTCCCCTTTTTTCTTTCTTACTTTCATCACTTCCCATAGATATTTGTCGACGAATATGCCAAGCTCGATGGTTCGTTCGCTGTACACTTTTTTTGTAGGATTTGGCGCTTTTTCTACACAACCCCCTGGACATATCATTCGAACTGATTTACTCCTGAAATAATAAAAGTAAAGATCAAGGTGGTTTATTAAGGTTGCTTTACCTCCATGCGTTCCAATGTACGGAAATGTCGGCTCCTAACCAATGAATTCAGTGAAATCCGTAAATGAAGTCACTCTATAATCAGTGACGTCATTTACGAATACGACATTTTCCGTACATTGAGAGTGAGCTACATCGAGAGCGCATCGAGATTGAGCTACATTAATAAGCAACCTTGGTATAGATAAAAACTGTAATATCACAATCTGCATTTTGAGTATTTTCATTATTTTGAAATAATCACTTTTAAATTTTTTGACTTTTAAGGCTAGCGTTGAATCAAAGAAACAATCACAATAGGACGGTTCCAACGAACTTCTTCTATCTATATATATACTTGTTTGACTGGGTGTTTATTTGTCTGTTTATATCCAATAAACGTCAAAACGGCTGAACCGATCAGGCCCAAATTGTGTGGGACTTCACATGACCCCAGGGAAGGTTTATGGATTCTCAAAATGACTAAAATTTAAGTTTAAAACTTTTTTATTTTTTTTTTATTTTGTACAGAGATAAGATGCTAACAGATTGAGCCTCAATAAAAAGTTGAAATAGAAGATGGGTGCGAAGCGTCCTAAAATCTTAGTTTATCTAAATTTGATTTACAATTTACTCATCCTATGATTGAATATTTTTTTGTATAAACTTTAAAAAAAGATTTAAATATTCTTTTTCAAACCCAGCAACTTACACTTTTGTAATACAACAGATATGAACAATTGAATATTGAAATACAAGAATCGAGAATAGGATACCAAAATATATGATAATTTCTTATAATCCTAAAATCAAAAGAAATTAGATTATTTCTTAAGCAAATTTAAACTAGAATAAACTGAATATCGTCTTCTTCAGTCAGTTATTTTGTTTAAAAAAACCTAATACAGAGTTCCCCAGAAGAAATGAGACTTCAGAGACGGCCGTTTGAAGTTTACACTGATCTTAACGGTTCTCTTTAACTGCAAACTTGTGTCTTTCTTTGCCAAATCGTTAAATAAGGCATTAGAAGACTATATTCGAGGCTTAGAGGCAGAAGACTTGATTGATGGTTAAGGCAATGTTTTGTTAAATGAGTTTCAGATGTCATTACAGTCTCATACAATGTTAATCATTTATCTCAAAAAATAGGTTTATACCAGAACCAAATTTAGCTGCAGTTTGCTTGTACTTTGCTTATATTTATTTACAACTATTTTATAAGGAATTTAAGGAAAATTTACTTTATCAAGGGTTCCTAAGAACGCAGCGAGGGATGTTCTGTATGCAAAAATGGTCGAGGTAATCCGTGGTCCGTGGTTCAGTGAAATTTTTAATTTACCAAAAAAGTAAATGTACAATATTTTGTCGTTTTTAGAAAAAATATAAAAGAAGGGCAGGCTCAATTCACAACGGTACCCTTGATGTCCTCAGCTATATCATTATTTTTTATATTTTGGGTTTTTTTTGCAAAAGTAACTTGCGGATTCATACATCAGACACAAAGAAAGAAAAGTTCCAGTTGCAAGATTGAAATGAAATGACTTAAATTGACAGTAGCAGGTTTAAAAGAAAATCTAATGTGGAAAAAGTCGACTTTTTTCCAGATAACAGCATTTATAATTATTTATTTAATTTGAATTTTTATAATTTACTTAAATACCTAAACATTGATGGTTCTTCCTTAGGAGATTCTCGTCTCTCAGATGTTTCAGCTTCAAGGTTTAGTTTAATCAGTTCATCTGTTACAAGATCTCGTAAATCCTTACTTTTCTCATCCTCTCCCTCACCACCACCTGCTTCCTAAAATATCAGATTTTTTAAACTAAAATAAATTTGATGAATGTGAGCTACTTCTCTGAACTACCTTATGTTGGTTTAAATTTGAACTACCGATTTAAAGTTAAAGTTTTTAATCGGTGATTCAAATGAAGTAGTTCAACAACGTAGACTTAGTTGAACCACTTTTCTTTGCAGTCAGGTCACGCTAAAAGATAAGTGCTTTAAAAACAATTAAGAAGACTTTTTTGTTTTGTTTTAATTGTTAACAAGCTTTTTTCGGGTTACAAGTTTACAAGTTTTTATAGAGAGACCGTTTAAATTGAGTGCTTCTCTTTGTTTCCATGTTTTTGTGTTCATCATGTTTAAAAGCTTGGTATAAAAAAAATTCAAATCAAAAGCCATCTAAGTTATTTTGATATAATCCCGTACCACCGTAGGTAAATCGAGACATTCAGGAAGTAGTCCTGAGGTCTCAGGCATTATGTACCAAAGCCCGGCTTTTAACCTAGAGTGAGGTACTTGTCTTAGTTAGTAAATCTAAAATTTGAACATTCCAATACTTTTAAAGTAAAGTGGTTAAGTATGTTGGTGAAAGAATAAAAACCATTTGATGGGTCTTGTTCTAATTTTACAGTAGATAAATTGATAATCAGAAAAAAAGCGAATGGCTGTTGTCTCTTTTCTTTCTTTTAACCCTTTTAGCCTGGATTGAGACAAAATTAAAAGGTAGAACCCAGAACACCAAAATAAATACCGTACCTTATAACCATATTCCGATTGGGCTATTTTTGTCTAATATAGATAGGGGGGGGGGGGGTATTTGACCCTACAGTTGAGATAGAAATATATGTTTGAAGCCAGCTGTTTGAAAACATTTAAATTATTTTTGTTTACCTTATTTTCAGGTTCTTCCTCCGTTGATTCTTCAGACTCAGCAAACAGCTCTTCTAGGTCTTCATCATCAGGTGCTTCCTTGGCATCCTTTGCTTCCTTGGCATCATTTGCTTCCTTGGCATCATTTGCTTCCTTGGGATCACTTGCTTCCGTGGATTCACTGGCTACAGTAGTTTCACTTGCTTCAGGAGTAGTTTCAGTTGCTTCAGTGGTAGTTTTCGTTGCTTCAGTCGTAGTTTCTTTCTTAGAGCCTTCAGCAGAGTCATCCTTAAAAGAAGAATTGCTTCTATTGCACTTTAGACAACAACCAACAAATTAAGAATGTAGAAATATAAATTTCTCCTAGTGATAGATTTTTAAAAAGAAGCAAACCTTGACTTTCTGTTTACTTTTCTTTTCAATGTTTGAAATCACTTTTTTCGCATTTTTAGCCACAACAGTCTTCATTTGCTCGCACTCAGGTCCACACTTGTTTTCAGAATAACTAGGATAGATCAAGATATATTTTTATTCACCATCATACATTGTGAGGGTCCACAATTTAAAGGTTTACAACCGGGGATTTTACCCCCCCCCCCCCCCCCTAGTTTACCTGACTTTACAGCTCATCTTTCCTTCAGGAGTCTTCTTACATTTCTTCTTTTTTAACCGACAACACTTTTCATCTGCATAGTCTCTGCTATCAGACTAAATATTTAATTTTATCATATTCACTGTCTATCTATCTATCTATCTATCTATCTATATATTAATCAATCAATCAATCAATCAATCAATTCATCCATCTATGTTCAACTATAAACCATTCCTCCCCTTTCCCCATCCTATAAAATAATATATGATGATACAACATTAATTTTAGTTTATGTTTGTTTCACAAAGAATATGTTTAGACACCTTTCCTGTTCAAATTCTAAGAAAGCTCCGTCCTTGTCAACAAACCCTGTTCCATTCTTCAGCTTAGTGGCAGAATCCTCAGCTAGTGCCTCATTCACTCCTTTAATACATCTTTATTAAAGGGACTGTAAGAGTAATTCAAGTGATCTTCCATTTATAAAGAGGAATATCAGATTCACAACGATACCCTTTAAACCTGGAAAACGATAAGGTAAATACCCTCATTTGTTAAGCTGAATATTTGCCGGTATATTCGCAAAGTTTCTTAATGGCAGTTTACATATAATTTCCCGATATATAAAAAGGAATTACTACGAAATCCTTGATCAAGGTTTATAGGGTATCGTTGTAAATCGGAAAAGCCACTCTTTAAATGGAAGAGCACTGGAAATTACGCTTACAGTCCCTGTAAAGGGATTGTGCTCAAGTATTTTTAAATAATCAAAATTTTCTCATTTTTCAAGCTAGCAGCACAGCTAGAAGTCTATCTTATCGCTAACAGATGTTTCTGAGAATGACCAGCGATGATTTCCATCGCGTGTTACAATATGAAGCTATGTAAAATTAAAATTTACGACCGATATTGTGCACCAAAAATGTGTATTTTTTTTCATTTCTATAAATTTAAATATGTATTTATAAACTAAGGCATGACAAAATAAATATTCTAAATGTTTACACTAGCACCGGGGTTTTAAACATTTAATTCTGAATTGTGCACAAAGATTAGTTTTCTAGCTTTCAGGAGCAATCTTTGACTAGTAGTTAGGGTTGGTTGTGACAATTGTGATTCTAATTCGAAAATGTATTTCCAAGTTTTTAAAAAATTCCTTTTAACACAAATAGATCATCAAGTACACTAGGTGGCAACAGATAAATGGACCAATTATACATGACGTCACAAGTGTCAAATGTAACAACATGTTCGCCCATTAGTTGACATGTTTCCCAAGATTAAATAAAAAAGCGAAAAAGCAGAAAATAAAGAAGACAAAAATGCACTTATTCCACTGTAAGATAAGCACTTTATTATTACTATTATTAACAATTTTTTCGGGCACAAAAACTGTCGAAACTTGTGACGTTAGAATACAGCTTTACTGAGAGTGTACACATTCTACGTTGGTATCTATTGTACTCGGTAATCTATTTGCTTTAAAAGTAGCACAAAATCAAGAAAACAATTGCTTTGTTTTTATTTAGTTTAATTTTATCCTTAAGAGTTTTAAGTTTACCTTTTTTCTTGGCAGTTTTATCTTTCATGATTTTCCCTTCATTTTGATAAAGTTTATCTCCCTCTTGGCGGAATGTATTGGAGCTTAGATTAGCTTTAGAGGACATGAAGGTCATCTGCATCACACCCTATAGACAGTAAACACTCAATTAAACAAAGCCATAGAATTCTCCCAACAAACTCTATTTTGTGTATCTCAATCTTTGAAACCTGGGACCAAACATAATGAATTGGAAATGTCCACCGATAGTTTAGATTTGTATCACTTCTTCAAATTTGAATTAGGGGTTTAAACTTGAACCAGCAGTAACTGTAGGTAGTTCAGCGAAGTTATTTAATTCGGTCCCTGATGTTAATATTTTTATATTTTAAACTTAAATTCTTTAGATCAAATAGTCGAAGTATTGGTTCAATAAAATATCAGGTTGCAAATAGGAATAAGCTACAATTTAAAGGAACTAGGACTTTGTACAAACTCTGATTTTCTAATCCCTAACTCTTTGCAACCCAATGTCGTAAAGCTAAGACATTTCAAACTTTGAATTATGTTGGATCAAATAATCTAATTTGAAATATCAACGGTTTACACGATCAGGTTGTGAACATATAGCAATTACAAAATTTGAGTTTGTTGCGAAAACTTAATTTCTTTGTGGCAAAAAAGAAATTTTGGTTGAATCTTTCTTTTTAACATTTAATATGCACTCCGACTCAGTAAAAAACATTGAAGATTATTCAAAATTGTTGCAACAATTGTCACATAGGAGTTTTTACGACAAACTCAAATTTTCAAATTTTATCTTTGAAAGTGTAAACCTCTGATATTTCAATCTTTGATTTATAAATCAAATAGAACTTTTAATTTAAAATATCAAAGTTCTACTACACCGGGTGCAGATAGATATATTCAAATTAAAAAAAAAAAACAGAGTTTGTGGCAAAAACTCAGATTGTTTTGTAAAATTTACAAAAAATTGAGAAAGAGCACTATTTTTTAAATTTTTTCTTAGCACCTTAACCATTTTTTTATTAGCCCCCTCACTCCCAAACTTAAATTTTTCCCGTAGTACTTCACACCCTTTTATATATAATAATAAATAAAGGTTTACAAACTTACATCACAATTGGTCATTGAGACCGTAGAATTAGGATCATTTTCCAACCTTCCCTCGTATGTACAACCCTCCAGCTTGTTCTTAACCTGAATATTCAAATATTTAATTTCATATAATGTAAACAAGACACATTAAATATATTTAGTTTATTAATTGTCATCTTCGTTAATTCTTTCTAATAAAAATTCGCCAGGGATTTCAATTCAATTCAAATTATATATTTCCAAAGAAACAGTAACAGAATAACAATAACAATAACAATAACATTATATAAAAAAACATATGGAATAATTTTTCCTTTAGCAGGAGAGCTGAATAGCTTGGAGATGGTTTAGCTTAATCACTCTGTAAGTAAATACATTATAAAACAATTGAATGGCAAACTTAATGGGGACGGTAAGGGCTAGAATTAACGATAATCAAGGTTATAATGCAAGGATAGTTAATTCATGTTAGTTAATTGTATGCATCTTTTGTACTGCAGTGTACGGTAATGTAAACAGAAGACGGATGTCGAAGACTGCCATGGGTTCCATCTTTTATATAAAAAATTTTAAAAAAAATATTCTGGTCATAGGAAACTCTTATTTTTACTATCAAAATTATCAAAATCATCAAAATTAAATGCTTTTAACCTCCTCGGATACGAAACGAACACTGATGCATCTATACTTTTTTACAAATTGCCCACAGAGAGAACTGGTTTCAATATGTACGCAGAGTATATGCAACTAAAATTAACTTTCCTTGTATTATAACCTTGACGATGATGATCAGTAGGTTTGGTTGTTATTATTTGTATCTGATAAATATCTTTAAATGATAACAGATCTAAACGTGTGTGCTATGAATCATTTATTCGCATCTGTTCACCCTTTCGCATTAAAATAAACAATCTGGAATATCCAGTGGTGGTCATTTCCTGCAGATTTAAATAAAATTGAACGATCAAGCATTTATTCCTCAAATTTAAAAGTTGTCGCTGCGGAAATTGATGTCATGCTTTTAGAGATATACGACAGAAATTTATTTTCTATTTCAAATGATTGTTTTGTAAATCCGTCTGATAAGAGCAATGTTTGGTTGATAAGATCAAGAGCGTTAACTATAACGGTAACGGGAAATATCGTGTAGTTCCTGCGACATTGCAGAAGAACAAACGGATGATTTCACAAAAATATAAAAAATATAAAAAATATAAAAAATATATTAACCTTCTCTTCAAGATTCGACGTTGTACACTTCCCATTTTCACATTCCTCAAGCTAAAATATATTTCTAAATATACAGACTGTAAAGTTCAAATAAGGTTGGATACCTTAAAATCCTTGCTAAAAAGCAATTTTTTCTTTTTAACAATTGCTTTGGTGTCTTCTCCATCAGATTTGAAAACAATTTCTTTATCATCCGAGTCGCTGTAGTCCCCAAAGGTCTACAAATTAAGATTTCTGCAAAATTAAACTAAAATATAACATTTTTTCATTTTGGAATATATATGGAAATAATGTTTTTAGGGGTTTGGTTTAGAATTTAAAGTCCTGTGAACTAGACAAATCATGCAACATTACTGTATGAGAAAATCATGCTACATTACTGTATGAGAAAATCATGCAACATTACAGTATGAGAAAATCATGCAACATTACAGTATGAGAAAATCATGCAACATTACTGTATGAGAAAATCATGCAACATTACAGTATGAGAAAATCATGCAACATTACTGTATGAGAAAATCATGCAACATTAC